ACACGTATTGCTGCAACTGTTTCATCACAAAAAACTTTAAGAACTAATCCAACATTTTGTCGTTCAATTGGTTTTGGTGACAACTTAACTATTCGACTATCTGCAGCATGAAGTTGAATTATAAATTTCCATTCTGCAAGTCACACAGTATCGTTATCATTTAGCAATCTATATTTTAAACATTGCAATTTTTCAGTGATCCAATTATTTTGAATACATTTTAAAATATGCACAGTGTCATTTAAAAGATAGTATGCTGGAACTTTTTTTGCATTAAAATATTGAAATATTTTTTGGTTTACTCGATAGTAATCCATTATTAACCAAGAGGCTTTCCACCTGCAATTATGATTTGTTGATTTAATTCTTCTATCACGCTTGTTTTAAAATTTGTTATAACTTTACAAACTGGAAAAACTTTTATAACAAGTCGTGGGCCACCAAAAAGACAAAGGAGCATTAGTGCTAATGGTGTATTGTTTGTTTTATTTAATAAAGCTACTTGATGCCTAATATAACTTGCTCACTTAGAATCTGTTTCATTATTAATAACATAACTAACAGCATTCTTCAGTTGAGAATAATATTTAATAACTCCTTTGTTTAAAAAAAACAGTTTAATTTGTAAAAGTTGGCTATATCCAGTAAAATAAATATCTCCAGAATCTTCTAAAGTTATATATATTGAAAACTTAGGTACTGGTCCACAATGTTCATATGATATTAAAGATGTATTTTTTTCTTTTTCAACAAAATAAAATTTTTCTTCACAGTAATTTATTATTGGCTTCAAATTTTTTACAATTGTATTAAATTGAATAACGTCCATTTTTTTGAAGTTTTCGAACTCATCAGTAGCCATTCCAGACAATTTTTTTATAATTAAAATATTCAAATATAATTGATGTCATTGTATAGAGCTTGGTTTGACTTAAAAAATGAGGGGTCATTTGGCCTTTGAAGTTAAGCGGATCAAAAGTTATTGACCTTTTTGTAGTGAAAAAACGGGTAATTTTTTGACAAAAGGTATAGGGCTTAAGTATGGAAAAATTACTGCGAAATGGCACCGAAAATGAAAGTATTATTGACATTTGAATAACTTTTGAACCGATGATACATTTGACTTGAAATTTTACATAGTGACCAATTAACTATAAGAAAATAAAATTCCAATTTTTTTTTTTAGAAATCTGTCAGGATTGACCAGAATTTATCTATTTTACAGACCAGAATTTTTACTAATTTATACATTTTTAGGGTCATACTGACGTTTTAATAACTTTCGAATCGTTATTACATTTGAATTAAAATATTCTATAGCAATACAACAACTATAAGAAAATAAAAAACCAAATTTTTTTTTTTTAAATCTGTCAGGATCTACCAGGATCACCTATTTTACAGACTGAGAGTTTTTACTAATTACTATATTTTTGGGGTCATACTGAATTTTGAATAACTTTTGAATGGTTATTACTTTTGACTTGAAATTTTTCATAGTGATCCAAAAACTATAAGAAAATAAAAAACCAAAATTTTATTTTAAAAAATCTGTTGAGATTGTCCAGAATCATCTATTTTACAGCTGAAGGGTTTTACATTATTTTCTTAGTTTTGGAGAATAAAATTTGGGGTGATATTATAATTATACCATGTGAATATGCATAAAAGAATCATGGAATCCAAAAAAAAAAACATTTGAAAACTATTGCGTAATTTACAGACCGGTCAGTGAAATAATCATATAAATTACTTTTCGGTCAGTAAAATGCTGAAAATGGGCTGTTCAAACAAATTAAACATATCAACTTTAAATAATTTGTAATTTTTTAAAAAATTTTAATATTTTTGAACCGTTATTACATTTGACTTGAAATTTTAATTAGTGATCCAGTTTTTATTAAATCTGTCGGGATTATCCAGAATTGTTTATTTTACAGACTGAAGGGTTTCTACTTATTTAACTGTGTTATGATGAAAAAAATTATGGTTGCACTATGCAAATATGCATAAAGGAATCATGGAATCCAAAAAATAATTTTCAGACCTGTCAGTAAAATTACTGGATAAATTACAGACCGGTCATTAAATTACAGAAAAAGGGATGCACAAACCAATTGGGCATATCGACCTTAAATATATTTGATATATTTGAACAGTTATTATATTTGACTTGAAATTTTAAATAGTGTGCCAGTTTTTATTGAATCTGTTGGGATCATACAGAATCGTCTATTTTACAGACTGAAGAAATTTGAAATTAAAGTTTTTGATAGAGATACAAAAAAAATTATGGCATTTAATTTTCTTATATACTATAAGAAAATTAAATGCCATAATTTTTTTTGCATCTGTCAAAATTATCCAGAATTGTTAATTTTACAGACTAAAATGTTTTTATTTATTTACCTAGTCTTTTAAAAATGAATTTAGATTTAAATCTTTTGGAAAAAAAAGAAAAAAATTTAGGTTATATTATAAAACTTCATGCTATATGCATAAAGGATTGTGGAATCCAATTAATTCATCTGTTTAAAACTTTTGCTTTATTTACAAACCGATTAGTAAATCACTGCGTAAGAGCATAGAAAGAAATCATTCAGAATTACCTATTTAACAGACAGAAGATTCTTTAATAAAACTAAAATTCAAATTTGAACTCTACCTAAAATTGTAATAAAATTATTATTAAAAACAATACATCTAAATACATACAATATAACATCAAATAACATTAGATACACAATAATTTAAAAAAAATATTTGTTAATTCATTTTAAAAATTAAAAATTAAAAAAAGTTATAAATTAACAATTAAAACTAAATAAATATAAAATAAGAAACTTATTTTTTGAGATTTGTGAACTATCGACAAGACCTAAGATGAAAAAATGAAAACAACATTAAAACAAAAAATATTGTTTGTCTAAAATTTATCTCTTGGCTTTTAGTGAATGATTAGAAGTAGTTTCAGTAACGAAACAACCTAATAATCATTTTTAACGATAGACACCAGCGAGAAGGTAAGCCAAGTTGTCTATCAACACAAAACATCACAACAATAACATCACAATCACAAAACACAGACCCTGTGGCACTAAACGCTGCAAAAAACGCTGGGGCAGATATTCTAATGACGCCCTTTCTCTTTTAGACAAGGAGCAAAAATGCATTGTAAACATAGTTGGACCTGCTCTTGCAGCCAACCTCCAACCATTATCACATCGTTGTAATGGTGCTTCTCTTTCTCTTTTCTACAAATATGGGCACTGCTCTAAATAGCTAGAGTCCCTTGTTTAACTACTAAAATTCATTCTCTTGTGACTGTTTCCAAGTGCTCCAAAAACTCTTATTCTTCTATTTTTTTCCTCGAACATCAGTTCTTTGGAATTCGCTTCCTTTATCTTGCTTCCCTGTTTTATATAATTTGCAATCTTTTAACTCATCTGTCAATTATTATCTTACTCTACAAACTTCATCTTTTCTCTTCCAGTAACTTCCAACTCCTACAATGATTGCTTGCAGCCTAGTTGGAACAACTCACAAATATACATACAATGACTTACTGTTGTTTCAATGCTGTGCCACCAGACCAACAGACACAAACATAAATGAAAAAAACAAAAACTTGATCAAAATGACTAACCTGCATTATCAAATGAAATTATAGTCATTCCACAGTTCCAACAAAAGAGTAAGATACATATAATGACTTACAGGTAGATAAACACAAAGATACACATAATGACTACATAAATACAAACATACATATAATGACTTACGGGTGGGTCAGCACCGCTCCAGAGGTCCAACAGAACACAAACATACACATAATGACTGATAGGTACATAAACACAAACATACATATAGTGACTTACGGGTGTGTTAACACCGCTCCAGAGGTCCAACAGAACACAAACATACACATAATGAGTAACAGGTATATAAACACAAACATACATATAGTGACTTACATGTGCGTCAACGCCACTTCAGAGGTCCAACAGAACACAAACATACACATAATGACTAACAGATACATAAACACAAACATGCATATAGTGACTAACAAGTGAGTAAAAACAAACATGCAAATAATTGCAGACACACCTACAAAAACATACATGCAAACACAAAAAAATGTAAACACAAGGATACATATATTGACAGGTATGTCAGCACAAAAATAGAAAGCATGAATTACGGGTATGTCACCATGACGGCAGATGTCCAATAGAAAACAAATATACATATAAAGAATTGTCGGTGCGCCAACACCGCTCCAGATGACCAAACAGAACACAAACAAGAACACATTAAATTGAATGACAATAAAAAAAATAATAACAATAATATTATTAATAATAAGAATAATAACAAACATAAATACAATAAATTAAATCCCCATTGTGTCAAAAATGATATTAACTGCATTTTTGTTTTTTACAAACTTCACCCTCCACATAACCATCAGCTTTTCCCTCTACCACAACACATTTCATCCTCCACTCTTTGACCAACTCAATATCATACTTATCTTCATATCCATCATATAGTATCTGAAACTCACACTCTTCATCAAATTCATTGTCGTCTAGAACACTAACCACGAGCCCTGAATACCATACATCCTTGCCATCATTATCTACCATTTTATGTTTTATTCTTTTTCCTAAAAACTTTGGAACCCCTCCCTTTGATGTGCCTGTTCTTATTTTACTTCCAGGTTCCATAATTAACCTAGTGTCACCCTCTAATCCGATTTTTTTTTTTTAATGTTAACAACATTTCTTGTCTTTCATTAATCTGTCTGATAACTGAACATTTTATTGCAGTTGCGCGTTGTTCAGGAACGTCTTTTAAAAATTTAAAAATTGATATTAGATTGGTTTTTAATTTATCAATACCAAATATTTTGTAATACTCCCCCTTTTGCCTTTTCTCCTAATTGTAACCACTTTTCCGGAAATTTTTGCTGTAATACTTTTTTTCGAAATTTAATTTGTCTTTGCAACTTCATTACAATTTCATTTTCAGTTCCTAAAATTTTTTCAAAATCCTCTTCACACAAAATTAAACCACCATCCTTTCCGATTTCTGTTGTCAAAAACTCTTTCTCTTCGCTTGCCTTTTGTTCCTTTATTTCCTTTTCTAAGTTGCGCTTGTCCATCTCATCAATTTTGTACTGCAATATATTTGCTTTTTTCTCTCTGTACTTTCTTATATACCCTTTTCTATTTCGCCTTGCTAATATAACTAGCCTTTCAATTACTTCCTGTGATTTTCCATCTATCCAATCAGCTGTTTTGTTGTTGTTAAACATGATCACACCAGCTGCAGCTACTGTTGTCATGTTAGGTTTCATTTTTAACCTGCGGTCATAGGAAGCAAAGTCACGTTCAGACACAACATTAGTACGTGGGCAGTTTTGAGTTTCTTCAAGCACATCATCAAAAAATGTCCAAATTTTTGGCTCGATTTAATTTTACAATGTAACCTTTTAACTTTTTTAAGATCCTTAAAAGCATCACTCTAGAGGTATTATACTTACAGTAGGTTGTAAAAAATAATGAAAGATTTTCTAATGTTATGTTATGTTTATTTTTGTCTTTGCAAATTTGTAGAAAATGACTATTGGTTAACACAAAATCAGGATGTTTGAGAGAAATAATGCCATCATTTATATCCAGAAAATCCAAAATATTCTTGCAGGTTGCTTTTTCAGACAACACTTTGGTAGCTAAAATTAATATTAAATTTAATTTGAGTGATTACAATAAATCTATTGTTAATCAAAGAGTTAAAGTTTGATAATATCTAGCTTTGTGAAAATAAAATAAAGGTAGATCATCAAGCTTAAGATTCTATAAATAAAATTATTGAAATATAAAATATTTGTTATACATTTTTCCGGATTTAAAAATTTAAAAAGTCTATCAAAGTATGACTTACATTCTTGACTTATAGATTGAACCACCATTTCACGTAGATTGTTAAGTTCACAGCCTAAAGAAAAGAATTTGAAATTAAAGTTCATTGGTTATTTTCCTTAGCCAATAAAAAATATAAAAATAAATGAAAAAAAAAAAATGATAACATTCTTACACATTTCCATTTTGTAAACTTTAGACTAAAAGTTTAGTTAATTACTATTTCTTTTTGTTTTGAAAAAAACAGTTTAGAGAATCTACAGACTAAAAACAGTGAGAATCAAGCTTGTAGTTGAGCAATCCAGAAAAAATACCTTTAAAAATATAAAATCTTTATTTTTATTGCCTTGAAAATTCAAGTCATTAATAAGGAATATACTTTCATTTTCAATTTTATTTGTAGTTAAAATTTCGGAATTGCAAAATCAAAACAAAAAACGTCATAAAATACGCGAAGAAATATAGATGTATATATACAGAATTCTAATATACAAATCCGAAGCACCTATTTTTTAAGAAAACATAATTAAACACTTGTTTTAAAAAGAGGAAAGGCTGAATTTGCTATTTCCACTTGAACACTTTCAAAAATCACTTTTTTTTCTATAATAATTAACCTTGAAGTTTTTAAACACTGAGAACTAAAAATTTATGTATAAATGTTAAAAAGTGTTCACATTCCATTAGATTCCTCAACCTTTTTTTAATATATACGGAAAGTTTTATAAAAATTGGATTTGTTTTGGTACTTCGGAATCCTTACCTCCAAAAGCTTCGTTTTAAAAAAACGTTCCCGCTTCAAGATTTTTTCTCAAAAGTGGTCTCAAGATATGGATAATATTTAAGTGAAGCCATATAAAGCATAGTACTTTTCATATATGGCTGAAAAGAGGTTGAGTAACACTAATTGATGCAAAAAACCTGAGGTTGCTTGCTTTCCTATACAAAAAGATATAAGAGAGCAAACTTCATGAAAATTTCGTGTTTTTTGTCAAACGTCAAATGTTTTTCGCTTAGCCGTGGAATCGCTATCATCAGGTAAAATATTTCTTTCACTGAAAGAAATATATTGAAATATGAAAGAACCAGTGTCTTGTATTCCAATAGTGTCTAGAAAACGAGAAGTCACTGGGTTGATATGACTGGGTTGATATGCTCTGAAAGTTTCAGAGCATATCAACCCAGTCATATCAACCCAGTGACATCTCGTTTTCTAGACACTATTGGAATACAAGACACTGGTATACCTTTAAAGACTGATGGAGGATGCACTGGAACAAAACTACCACCTTTGACTCTTTTTAATTCTGCATCTTTAGGCCAGTGCTGAGCACAAATTCGCTTATAATCTGTAAACACAAAGTTTGCATTTGGAAGTTTTTTAATCCATAACTCGCGATCCCCGGATTTAAAGGGGAATCTATACATTGTGACATTAACATTATCTTTTACTTTTGATTTGTAATTTGAGGAGCAACCATAAACGCAGCATTTATTAGGCATTTTACGAGTTTAACTATTTAGTTTAAATCAAACAACCAAAATCCTCATTGAAACTATACTTCTCCGTAAAAAAATCGGCCTTCGCTAATTTTACGGAAAATGAGCTGTCGCGGCCTGTTTAAGAAGGCCTTGGGACAAATACAAAATTGAGGGAAGTGATCAGAAACAGAAGTTGTCAAATTTTCTGAAATAATTTCATTAGCTATTAAACTAGAGTAAATATTATCAATAACTGTAGCAGAGTGATCAGTAATTCTATTCGGCAAAGTAATAAAAGGGCGAATATTATAAAAAGAAATTAGTTTAAAAATTCAGATGTCGCAATGTCATTATTTGATTGCATCAGATCAATATTATAATTACCAAGTAAGAAAACAGATTTATTTTTAGCAGATATTTTTTGAAGTAAGACAGACATGATATTATTTAAAATATTAATATCCATGCAAGGGTGTCTATAAATGCAACCAACAATAATATTAGGTATTTTAGAAAAAATAACTTCAGCAAATGTGGATGAAATAATATCATTGAAGTATATATTTTAACTTGCATAATTAGCATAGAGAGAGTCTCTTTCACTCTCTCTGTGAGAGAGAGAAAATATGTCTACTAATATAGATACAATATTCACAAAAATAATTAATTCATTAGTATAATTATCAAAATATCTAATTAATTCATTAATTTTTCAAATATCTTCTTTTTTTTTACCTTATAAATGAGAACAAGGCTATTTCAAAATACAATAATGCTAAAATTATATCTGAGTAATCAGGTTACTGAAGTAACAAAGTATTATAACTTAAATATTAAAGTTACTTTGAATAATAATTCTATGTTTTTTGATAATTTCAATTATCTAAAGGTATTAACAACATTAAAATTATTTTGAATAATAAAGGTCTGTTGTTAATTATTTCAATTATCAAGAGATATTAATATCTATGGATAATTTAAATTATTAAAAAAAAGAGCATTGTTTTTCAAAGCCTAATTTTTTGGTAAATAGTATTATTTGCAAATAATAAACAAATTTCGTAATAATTTAAAGTTTTGATAGATCTTTTATTTTGTATTTCCATATAAAATGTCATTTCTGTAGTTTGTTATTGCAAAGAGCAGGAACTCCATAAAAAATTCTTTGATACACTAGGTAAATGGAGTGACAGTGCTTTCACAATTCAATAAAATTATCTGTTGCTGTTGAAAATAGTATTAAAATTCTTGAGATGGTTGAGCACATTGTTCACACTAGTTGTAGCTATTAGATTGTATTTGGTATTTTGAAAACTACAATACTTGCTGTTGTGATTTAATTAATACTTGCTCTGTCTCAATGAGTCAAACTTTTCTATACTGCATGTGCCTGATTCACAGAATTAACTTTACTCTATCCATCAAATATAAGAATCATGCTTTTATTTGTGCAAAAATGGACCATAAATTCTCAATCTGAAATGTTACTGAAAAAAACTAATAAAAAACAAGTGGATTTTAATTCCAACTCAACTTTTGTTGATTATGTTAATACAATTGAAACTGCACGCATCGAAGTTACGAATGTAGATTTATATCGACTAGATAGCCACACAGCAATAATGTATTTTTTATATTATGTTATGGAAAAGTTGTTGAAATTTTGTTTATGTTTTCAAAATGTTCCTTATATTTCTGATAATTTGAATTTTGTTTATAAATAGTTTCAAATAAACTAGAATGCAATCGATAGTATTTCTTGAATTTATTAAAGCAATTCCTTTTTTAATAAAACTGTCATTCCCTGTAGTTAATAAAAAGTTGTTGATTCAAGTCAATTATGTGATAAAACAAGACCACTGAAAAGAAAATTTGACAATTATCACGATGTTTTCTTATACCCTAGGGTATGAGATGTGAGAATGTTAAAACAAGATGTTATGCTAAACTAAAGTGTTTTGTTTTAACTTCCTGAAACGATACAAGACAAGTTGCATGATTTGAGCAGGGGCGAAGCCAGACCTTTTTGGTACTATAGAACCGATATGGGCGCCAAAAAAAGGCCTCAAAATATTAATTTCTTGTTGTTTTTCTTTTTATGTTAAAAATAGAAAAAAAAAATTTTTTCAAATGCTAGTTTTCTGTATATTTTAGCTAGTTTATTCAGCCAGTGATGTTTACAAATAAGGTTCGCGGCTGGGTTATGGTTTTATAACTTGCCGCATTAAAAAGGTATCCTAAAAAAAAAACTCTAGGTTCATCACTAGTGATGAACCTAGAGTTTTTTTTGGGGGATACGTTTTTAATGCGGATACTTTTTTAATGCTTAACTTTTAATGGGATACCTTTTTAATGTGTAACTCTTGCGTAGCTAGCTACTCAAGAGTTACACATTACAACTTTCCATTAGAAATAATTTTAAAAAACTACCCATAACTTTTCATTATAAATAATTTTAAATGTTTGTATTTATTATAATTCTAATTAAGGTCTATCCATACATTACGTACATACCGATGGAAGAGAGCAATGTCCCAAGCAATGTCCATACGTACGAGTGCGTATGGTTTTCCAAGGAATGCATGCACGCAAACGCAAAAAACTTTAGGTGGCATTTCACGTTTACTTGCCCATTAATTAAAGGTGAACATCGCTCACGTTCATGGCCTGTTAAGGTTATAAGGGTTGAACAGCACCAAAAAAAAATTGATCACATTTGCGTGCATGAATGGAATTGGGGGGAAGGGAGGTTAGACCACCAAGCATATGAAACTCATATATTGGGGGGGGGGGGGGGAGGGTGTAAGACTACCAAGCGTACGTACAGACCGAGGAAAGGGGTATGAAAATGTACAAGGTGCAACAGAGGAGGAGGGAAGGTAGAGATTTTTGCGTACGTAATATATAAATACCCTCTTATTAGGAATAAAACATTGATTTTTCTTAGGATTATTTACATTGCAAAACAATGTTTTACAATGTAAATACTTTATTATGCTGCATGTTTCAAACATGCAGCAATGAAAATCCAACAAATCAGGCCATTTATTTATAATTGGCCAATCAATATCAGGCATACATGTTTTGGGATCAGTAGCTGTTAATAATATTCTTGATTTTTGATTGTCTTATAAAGGTTATAAAGAATATTTCTTTACCTAAAAGGTTTTGCAGTGGTGAAAATTACAAATTAAAAAACTGTGGTATGTTAAAAAAATCATTGACAAAAGTTGTGTATAAAGTGATTGCTGTTGTGGGTAATAGTGGTTGCTTCTTGTGGGTAACATTGCTTGCTTCTTCTGATAACAGTGGGTAACAGTGGGTAACAATGTACAGTGGGTAACAGTGCTTGCTTCTTGTGGGTAAGATGTATTAGTAAAAATCAGCCCAATATCAAGGTTATAAACATTTTGGTGAAGATTGAGAAAATAATTTTTATAAAGAAATTGTTTTTATTTTTATGATTAAAGGGCTTCAAAAATCTATTCTTAAGTTGTGAAACCCTCACCTGAAGTTTGCATAACAAGTTTATGTTTGAAAAAGAAATTGGTGAGTGTATTAGGTCAAAACTTTTTTTCGGTGAGCGAATCCAGGTTTCGCTTTTTTTGTAAAATCAGGACCCAAACTATTTAAATTTACTTAAACCATTTATACTTAATTTCTTATAGTAATTTGCAATAGATAGATAATTTAATAGGTTTATTATATTAAAAAAATTCCTTTTAATATATTTTAGCAAAATTTGTTATAACTTATACACTATTAAAAACCAATTCAATATTCAAGCACTTGGATTTGCTTACTGGAAAAAAGTTTCAACCAGTGTATTACCACTCTGAATTTAAAATAAGAGCTGTTGTTACCAATAATCATTCTACCAATGTTAATACATTTTCATAGTTTTATAAAGCATATACTGGAGATGGAAAACTATTTATTTATCATCCAGTTTATAAAAGGAGTGTTTAAAACATACTTATTATTTGATATATTTCGTTTTATAAAAAATATAAGAAACAGATTAAGTTAAAGTTACATTGCAGGAAATATATTTTATAAAGTTTATTAAAAGATCAATTGCTAAACAGAAACTTAAAAAAAAACAAGAAAAATAATTATCAAATCACTTCAATTATTTTGGAAACAAACAAACAAGTTGTCAACCTTACTTAGGCAATATTTTACAAAACAATTTCCGATGCAGTATTGAATTATTTTCCTGTAAGAAGTAAGGCAGCAAAATTTTATCATCGTTATATTAGTTATTTATCACAGTTAATTCGCAGAAACTCAATTCATTCAGTCAACTCAGTAGTGCAACTGTGACAAACCCATACTTGATAGAGAAGTTATAAATTGTATTAAAGTTTAATCAAAATGTAAACATTTTACATTAATCAAACAAACTTAATTTCAACATTACAAGCTATTATATCTCTTATAAATGGTTTCCTTGAAGTAGGCTATACTTTTTTCTTACTTCCAGTTTACAAGTGATCCTTTAGAGCTAGGTTTTCGTAAGTATAGTTAAATGGCCA